GTCGGACTGGGAAGTTACTAATTTGCATAAGTAACTACCCTCATGCGTTTTAAGGGTCGACAGGTTGGTAGATTCTGAATATTTTTTCAGAATGTGCACCTTAGGATGCTTGTCGAAATTACAATCGTTTGTAATGAAATGTTCTGCAAGCTCCGTTGATATCACATTATTGTGCCGTATATCATACCTGTCTCCATTAAATGTTTTATTTCATTTTTCCTTTGTGTAACCCACATAAATCAAGACATATCTGGCATATTGGGCGGCGTATATTAAATGGGAATCAGTATAACAATAATAATAATAATAATAATAATGATGATTTGAGGTATAATCCAACTTGAACGAACTCTAAAAAGTAGAACAATCAGATTGGAAGAAGCCAACGACCCTCTCCTACAAATAGTAAAACACCAAATCCACTCCCTCGACAAAGCAACACTCAAGAAAAAGATTAATATACCTGAAATCTTACTAACAAAAAACGAAGCAAATCTACACCAAACTAGTAATTAACAGAAAACAAAACAACTTTATCAAATGAAATTACAAAAAAAAAAATACGAGAAGACAAGGCGTTGCATGGCAAATACCTAAAAAGAACGAAAGAAGCTGATGTAGACCACCAGAAAACCCATCAGTGACTGAGGAGCACCGGGTTTAAAACTGAGACAGAAAGCCTAATTATTGCAGCTCAGTACGAAAGCCCTGCAATCAGTTCATGTCACATAATCAAGGATGGAACTAGCCCGAAATGCAGGATCTGCGGAAATATGAGGAAATTATCGACCATATTAACTCAGGATAAATGTACCCAGAGACATAAAAAAAAAGGTAACGACATATTTGCATTGGAATATGTGCAAGAAGAGGAAAACCGAAACCACTGAGAGATGGTATGAGCATCAACCAGACACAGTTACCCAAAATAACGACGTAACTATCCTCTGGGAAATACCATTTCAAACTGACAGGGAAATAAAACCCAACAGACCTGATATTATCATAACAGACAGGAAATTCAGAAAGTCTATGCTTATTTACATAGCAGTACCATCTGAGAGAAACACCCCATGAGAAATTGTTCAAATACAAGGACCTGGAAGTTGAGATTAACAGAATATGGAGAATGAAGACTGAGACTGTACCAATAGTAATCGGAACTTTGGGTCTCGTGAGAAACGAATGTAGAATTTTACTCACAGCGTCCCAGGTAACAACCACATACAAGTTGCCCAGAAGATCGCCCTATAAGGAACACCCCATATACTAAGAAAAGTGCTATCAATTAAATGACGATTCTCCTATAGGGCCTAATGACAATAGTTTGGACCCGGCTCTACAGGATACAAAGCAGAAAACATAACACACAAATAATAATAATAATAATAATAAGAAGAAGAAGAAGAAGAAGAAGAAGAAGAAGAAGAAGAAGAAGAAAAGTGCTATCAATTAAATGACAATTCTCCTATAGGGCCTAAAGACCATAGTTTCGACCCCGTTGTACAGGATACAAAGCAGGAAACATAACACATAAATAATAATAATAATAATGTGATGCTACATCAGGTATGGCTCTTATGTCTCCTGCTTTTAATTCATTAGAAGTGTTAACATGTATATGTTTTGTGTGGGTAAATTAAGATGGGCTGTCATCAGCGAAGATGTATTAAGAAAAATGAAAACGAAAAAGCATTTGCATTCAGAATCGGAAAGAGACAGTTGTAATTACTGGGATGCATTATGAGGACGGAGGGGGTGGAGTGTTTGACATATCGAAGGCAAAAAGGACAGAGGAAGGTTAGTGGGCCACCTACCTGACCAGTTTGTATGAATGAATGGCGGAACGGCGGTGGGAGGGATAGCAAAAAAACAGACGTTAATAAAAGCTACAAAGAATAGGAAGTTGTGGAGAGCCATGTATCAACAGTGTGCTTTAGTGCCCGGCTACGGAGAACGACGCAGTAAACAAGGTTATGTTCGCCCTTTTTAAGGAAACATATCTTCATCACCTAGATATCTACTCGGTTTCGTAACGTAAACGTAAACAAAGCAATTTCTCAAGATTTAATGGATTTATTTTTAATCCGAGATTTTTATTACTCCAAAAGTATTTCATATAGACAACCCCATGGATCAAACGGTGGCTTCCCAAATAAAAAAAAACGTGGGGCGCTGGTTCGATACCTGTCAAGGAACACATTTTTCTTTACTAAGATTTCTCGAATACGCAGGCTGACAAACGTAACACATACTGTTCAATCAATAAAAATGGAGCGTCTATTTCAAATACGAAGTACTCTCTATAATAACGTCTGGAGTAATAAAAAATATATATTACAAAATATGGTTTTAAGGTATGCTATATTTACGGATAATAGTGCTCAATATCAGGGATAGAGCATGAGTAAAAGTAAGAATGGACACTGGCGTCAGCAGGGGATGGCGACAGTCTATTTCTTGATTGAACGCAGTCTTCAGTTTACGTGTGTTGATTGGCAGCTCTACTATTTATATATGATAGTCATTGTGGGCAGCTCTTTCAGGTTTATTTTGTTATATATATATATATATATATATATATATATATATATATATATATATATATATATATATATGTGTGTGTGGTGGGTGGGTGTGTGGAGTGTGTGTGTGTGTGCTGACAATCTGAAGGTGATTTAGAAGGAGGCGGCGAGCGGCGAGCGGCAAGGGAAGAGACGACGATCGCCTGTGAAGATGGAGCAATAGGTTATATATATATATATATATATATATATATATATATATATTGCGACCGCACGTTCCAAAACAATAACACATTTCTAAAAGCATTTTTTCGGATTACATCCATATTTTCGTTGTCCTGTTATTACCGAGAAGTAAAAAACAAGAACAAATCTACTTCCATACCTGAGGATGTCTGTAGGAACAGACGAAAGCTTGTAAAAACTAAAAAAGACCTTATGAAACTGGAATTTATAAACAGGGATTATATCATTCATATACAGGTTCGGATTTAGTGTACTTTATTAAAATTGTTTGCGAAGATGTATTCTCGCCATTTAAATCATTAACTTCTATATTTGTTTTTTGTATGAATGATTCATGTAATTATAAACTGAACTGCACCTATACTTGAAATATATATATATATATATATATATATATATATATATATATGAAAATAACACTGACATCTCATTTTACACATGTATTTAAACGCCATTGGCTTCAACCACGGGCCCCCAGACGGCTTCGGAATCTCTTGAATCTCTTCTGGGCGGTCTCTGCTATAATCCTTACTTTCAGTTCATCTTTGGTGCTACAAGGATTGAGTTTTGTTTGTCCTCTCTCTCTCAATCTCGCCCACACATAATAATCAAGGGGTGGGGGATGCAGTCTGGGGCGTTAGGGGGCCAGAAGTAAGCGATGATGTAGTCGCAGAAATTGTCTGACAACCATGATTGGGTTCTCCATCTTCTTTGCCAGACATAGGGTCTTCCAGTAGCCACCATCTTGACCCAGGACAGCACTACCTCCTCAAAGCACTTGGTGTAGGTCTCTGTGTTGAATATGAGGACCTGTGGAAAGATGAATGGAGACACAACGTCACCATCACTATGTAACACTCCAAACACCATAATGTTGACTGGCTATATCATCCAACTCTTTCTGAATCCTAAGGAGTATGCTCAGTTTGACACCCAAACATTTTGTAATGTTGGTATTGGAGCTTCCAGCGCAAATTCCAAACAGAAAAGCATCGGAGTGAATTGCCAGATGGTACTTTTTTTCTTATAGACGGTGCCCAACTGACCCTACTATTGTGTTCTGTCTACAAAATCAAAAACAAATAACACGCATGTGCGACATTAAAATATAAAAATTTTACAATATATAAAAATGTACATTTATATATAATCTTTTCACTGACATGCAAGGCGTTAAAGTCTCTAAGACGCAAAGGAGTTGCTGACAATGAAGGAAACAAAGAAAAAGTTACTGACGAGGGAAGACAAAAAGAAGGGGATTCAAGAAGAGAGAAATTGACGGGGAAGAGAGAGCGAGTGAAAGAGAGAGAGAGAGAGCGAGAGAGAGATAGTACGAGGCGTCATCATGCAGTGTTGACTTCAATATCCACGCTATCTATCTATCTATCTATCTATCTATCTATCTCTACACACACATACACGCACTTTATATATATATATATATATATATATATATATATATCAGGACTATCCCGTTAGTTTCGACTGATGAAGAATATGCAATTCACTAAATTTTCAAAAAATATGCATAAATTATAGTGGTGAATCAATGAAGCGTCAAACTTAATAAAAAAAAAATATTTTCATTTTGGTATTTTAATAGGGTGAGTTATGCGTACATAGCTTCTTACAATACATAAAAAATTTATATATATATATATATATATATATGTGTGTGTGTGTGTGTGTGTGTGTGTGTGTGTGTGTATTCATTCTGATGAATTTAACACACACATATATATGCGTGTGTGTGTTTTGAGTGACTGACGAAAAATTATCGGTCTGTCTCGCTGACCAAATATGATCAAATATCAGTTACTAGATGGGGAAGTGTTTCATTTCTAGGCATTTCCAATACATCTAGGTGTATATTATTCTGAAGCTTTCTCTCTCTCTCTCTCTTTCTCTTCTCTTTCATCTTCTGATCTCTCTCTCCCTGTCTCTTGCTCTGTCTTAAAACACACACAAATACACACACACACACACACACACACACATATATATATATATATATATATATATATATATATATATATAATACTTATACATATTGTAGTGTGAGTCCTTCTATATGTGCGCGTCTCTCATTCTTCCTCTGTGTGTAGGCGCGCAAGTGCGCGCGCCTATATGCACACGCTGAAGACGTCCACTTCTTTTATTTCTTTACAATGTCCAGGTGCATGAATTGAAATTTAATTGCTTTCTCACTGCACACGTGTCGCGTCCGGTATGCTGGGGTCAGCTGTGGAGGGCCGAGGGTATGCGAACACCTTACCTGCTTCATTTGTAGAGCTTTTATCGTTTCAATGTCGATGATCGACGAACAATAGGGGTTCAATCAGTCGTCAGGGGATTTGAGAGTGTCTACTTACGATGTGTATGCTGCGTGGGAGAAGAAGTTATTCATGTATTTATTTATTTGATATTTCTTCTTCTTCTTCTTCTTCTTCTTCTTCTTCTTCTTCTTCAAATAATAATAATAATAATAATGATATTTTTCTTTTCCTGATATTTTTCCTTTCAATTCATCCCAGTATTTCGCTTTCTCCATTTTCTTGTTTTTTGTGTAAATGTTAATAATATTAATATCGCAACTAATCTCTTTTTTCTTTCAAAATCATACCCTTTTTTCTTCGCCATACTCTTTCTTTCTTCAACACACCCTTTCTTTCTTCATCACACTCTTTATTTCTTCATCATACACTTTTTCTTCACCATACACTTTCTTTCTTCATCATACACTTTTTTCTTCACCACACTCTTTCTATCTCCATCATATACTTTTTCTTCACCACACTCTTTCTATCTCCATCATACACTTTTTCCCCACCACAATCTTTCTATCTTCATCATACACTTTTTTCTTCACCATACACTTTCTTTCTTCATCATACACTTTTTTCTTCACCATACTCTTTCTATCTCCATCATACACTTTTTCTTCACCATACACTTTCTTTCTTCATCATACACTTTTTCCTCACCACACTCTTTCTATCTTCATCATACACTTTTTCCTCACCATACTCTTTCTATCTCCATCATACACTTTTTTCTTCGCCATACACTTTCTTTCTTCATCATACACTTTTTTCTTCACCATACTCTTTCTATCTCCATCATACACTTTTTCCTCACCACACTTTTCTATCTTCATCATACACTTTTTCTTCACCATACACTTTCTTTCTTCATCATACACTTTTTCCTCACCACACTCTTTCTATCTCCATCATACACTTTTTTCTTCACCATACACTGTCTTTCTTCATCATACTCTTTCTTTCTTCATCATACTCTTTCTTTCTTTCTTCATCATACACTTTTTCTTCGCCATACCCTTTTTTCTTTATCATACCCTTTTTCTTCATCATACCCTTTTTTCTTCCCCATAATCTGTCTTTCTTCACCATACACTTCTTTCCTCATCATACCTTTTCTTTCCTCATCATACCATTTCTTTCTTCATCACACTCTTTCTTTCTTCTTCATACCCTTTCTTTCTTCATCATACACTTTTTTCTTCACCCATACTCTTCCTTTCTTCATCATAGCCTTTCTTTCTTCATCATAACCTTTTTTATCGTACTTTTTCTTTCTTTATCATACCCTTTTTCTTCATCATACCCTTTATTTATTCGCCATAACCTTTCTTTCCTCGTACACTTTCTTTTTTCATCATACTCTTTCTTTCTTCCTCTTTTTCTTTCTTTCTTCATCATACCCCTTCTTTATTTATCATATTCCTTCTTTCTTCATCTTGTACTTTCTTTCATTCTTGCAAACGATTCGCTCTCTCGTGGGCTTAATTCTTACAGTTTGCCCGAGGCTAGTAACCTTAGGTATAACTTTGGTGAATGATTTAAATGCATATATTTCAATCTAATCTTTGTTGCTAAAATGCATAAATGACAATAAGAACATTGTGTTATGCCGATATTCCCAGTGGGGATGGTCTCCCTTTCGTCAAATTAAGCATTGAAATCTAACGTTAAACAACGAATCCTTGCACTGGATAAATAAATATGTCTATTTACTAAACTCAATTTTAAGATACAAGGCCAGACGACGGGTGTCCTTATTATATCAATATTACACAGAAGAAATGAAATCCTAACAAAGCCTCATTTAAATTCTTGGACTTATCTGATTGCTAAATCACCATCAACTATCTCAAGTGAAAATTACATATCAATTTCAGCCACGCGACAGACGATGTTCCATTTCTTTCTTTCTTTCTTTCTTTTTCTTTCTTTCTTTCTTTCTTTATATTTATTTATTTTTATCTCTCTGTCTATTTATCTTTCTTTCTTTTTATCTATCTATCTATCTTATTTTTTTAAAATAATTTGTCCGAAACCCACAAAGACGCAAGTGGTTACTGAAAGTGAAACAAAATAAGAAAAAAACTATTGAGTAGAAAGAATAATAAAAACAGATTTCAAAAAGCCAATAGACGAAAAATGATATTGCATTTACATTTTCGAAGATCGTAGTTCTCAGGAAATAGCCAGAAGTGAGTTCCACATGCAAGAGGTGCAAGAGAAGAAACTAACGGAATAGAACGTACGGCTATATCGATCAATTCCAACTGTAAAATGATGAGACCTAGCTGCTAAACTATTATTGTATATTGTATATTCATCAAGTCACAGTACCAACGATGAATGCTCATCAGAACAATTAGCATGAAAAAAATTATAGAAAAGGCAAAAGGAAACTACTCAAAGGCGATGGGAAATGATTGTAGCCGAGATTTCGTATCAGGGCCGATAAAATTGCAGATTTTTTTCCTTGGATTTTGTCAAACATTTTTAGATATATAACAGAAGCATAAGGCCAGATATTTCAGCAACATTCAATATATGCACAAATAAAAACACAAGAGAGTTTCTGGGAAGAAAAATTGTCTAGTTCAACATGGTGAACCAACTCTTATAGCGTCATACATAGCAAGTCATATATATATATATATATATATATATATATATAATGTGTGTGTGTGTGTGTGTGTGTGTGTGTGTGTAAAAATATATAGAAAATAGGAAAGAACTCATTAGTTAAATAAAACATGAGAACTCTTATATAGCGATAGAATCATATTTTTAAATAAATAATTATATATTGTCGTGTGTCGCTAGGAACGATTTTTTTCCAAACAGGGTCAGCACATTGTGGCCGTGTTCATATAAAATTAAATAAAAAAATAAAATAAAATAAATTAAATAACAAAAATTAAGTAAAAGAAAAAATTAAACTAAAAACCTAAGGTCTTTTATTTAATCTTTTATGTGTTCTTATAATTTTTTTATGTGTTTTTATAATTTTCTTTTTTTCTGGACGTAAATTATGGAAAAAAAAATGGCTAAAATTAATAGACGCATTGTAATAATATCAACTCTGAACACAGCCACAATGTGTTGACCGTGTTGGGGAAATTAAACCATTCCTATAATTCTAGATACATCAATAAAACAATCCATACATAAAGTAAAAGTAATATAAAATTTATCCTTGATAATGGCGAAAAGTGAGGAAGCGAAAGCACTCGGACATACAAGACATTTGAACAATTTCTAGATAATTTACGTAAAAAAAACAAGAAAATTATGACCATATGAAAAATTAAATAAGAAACTTGACCATACTACCTTGTCAGTCGTTTTTAATGAAACCTGTATAAAAGAGGGATTGCTGCCAAAATACACAATTATATATGTTTATATATATATATATATATATAGCGTATATTTTACCAGCATGTTTTCATTAAGACATGTCTCATTAAATAATTTTGAGAAGTTTTTTACTACTTATTTTTAATAGGATCCTTATGTAATTGCTTAATTATAACTTTAATAAATTAATTAAAAAAAAAACCCTGCTGACGACATTGTGCCCAAGTCGAAAGTACTCAGAATAAAATGAATATGCATCAACATGGTAAGATACGGTCAGTACATTCTGACCGTATTTACAATTACGTTTATATAGTGATGGCTAACAGCATTTACCTGCATTGAGTCCAGAAAGAAAATATATATATATATATATATATATATATATATATATATATATATATATATATATATATATATATGTATGTATATGGTGTGTATGTATCTGTGTGTTTTTTTATATCAGCAGCAAAAATTATTATCAAATTTATTAAGTTAAATAATATCAACAAAGTTCTGTCTATTCAATTTTTTATATAATCGGTAAATTTACTAAAGTTCAAATTTATTTATCTTTTTCCCAAGTACGTTCATTCGATCCATAAAAAACTTATGAGCACAATGAAGAAAAAACATAATAAAAAGGACACACACGCACACACATACATACATACATACATACATACATATATATATATATATATATATATATATATATATATATATATATATATATTATAAGCTGTATAAGGTCTTTCTTTAATACGCATGTACTTTCAACTGTACATTCAGTCATCTTCAGGCATGGAAATTATTTTGTTTTTAGTAAAATTCAGGTAGAGTCCGAGACAAAAAAATATAATGCGAATCGAAATATGTTTTTTTTTTTTTTTTTTTTTTTGAAATGTGTTATTTTTAACGGATACAAACTTTTGGAGCCTGAAGTCGCAACGCTAAGTTGAATTTTTTTTTTTAAAAAAATTAAGAGAGTGCGTTTTTTACTAATATGGTAATTTGATAATTTTTCTGTTGTAGGGGTTTATCAGTCAATGTGGCATGAACTAAATTTGTTCAATAAATAGAGTAATGTCTCAGTTGTTATCCCGAAAATTTGCACGTCGGATCAGTTCTATTGAATCAAATATGAGGTGCATTTCAATTTATATTACAATGAATCATTCATACAAAAAGTAGATTAGTAAAGTTAATAAAGACTGCACATTTAAAAAAAAATATTTCGATTCGCATGCCTGAAGCTGACTGAATGTACATTTGAAAGACCTTATACAGCTTATAATTTTTAAAAACAAGGATCATAACATTCATATACATATATATATATAGAGACAGATAGATAGATAGATATATTTATATATATGGGTGTGTGTACGTATATATGTGTTTGTGCATGTGTGTGTATTTCAGCAGCAAAAATTATTTCAAATTTAATAGGTTGAATAATATCAAGTTCTCTCTATTCAATTTTTATTAACTTTTCCAATATTTCTAATTAGTTGTTTTATATAATCGGTAAATTTACCAAAGTTCATA